TGAAGAAGGGTCTAGGCCCGAAATGTCAGCCTTCCTGCTCCTCTGATGCTGCTTGGCCTGCTGTGTTCATCCAGCTCTACACCTTGTTATCTCAGATTCTCCAACATCTGCAGTTCCTACTATCTCTAAGATTTCCTACATTTGTTTTATTTAGTGAAATTGTAAATGTATTTGAAAAAAGTTACAATGATTGACACAGAACTAAACTGGCAAGTAGAGAAAGCTTTCTGCTCCCAACATCAGTAATATAATCAGAGATAGTAGGAACTGCAGATGCTGGAGAATCTGAGATAACAAGGTGTAGAGCTGGATGAACACAGCAGGCCAAGCAGCATCAGAGGAGCAGGAAGGCTGACGTTTCGGGCCTAGATCTTCTTCAGAAAAGGGTTATATCAGTAATACAATGTTTCATTCATATAGAACCTTTAATAAAGCAAATGCACTTTATTGGAACATTATCAAGAAAAAATGAGCAGCCAACCAAAGGTGGAAAGATTAAATGGGTGACCAAAAGCTTTGGTAAAGAGGTATTCTTTCAGGCTTATCTGAAAAGAGGAGAGAATTAGCAAAGAGCTATAGCAATAGAGTTCCAGAGATTAGGACTTTGATGGTTGAAAGCAAGGTGACCAATAGTGGGGTGAAGGAAGTCAGGGAATCACAAGAGACAGAGTGATCACAACATGCAAAGAGTTAAATCATTGTGACACCAAGGCTCTACCCTCCTCACTCTCATTCTAGGCAGATATAACTTCTTTTTTTGAGTAATTCTAAAACATTGATGGTCTTGTGTTTCAACCAATATCGTCTCTCCTCGAAAATAATTAATCTGGAGCTCTACAGATAAGCAAATCTATATATTAATTTTATTGCTAAACTTGACCCATTAAGAAATGAGCTCATAGCTTTAGTACATGGGAAAATATTTATCTTGTCCTTTTAATATAAAGTCCATGAGGATGGTCTTTGCATGTGATCTTTGTGTTTTGGTACACAGAAGATTAGTTTCCATGGAAGGGAAGGAGACCATTCACTCCCTTTACTATTATATTTTGGGGCCTACACTTTAAAATAGTCAGACTGTTCTGTTTTGGTGCCCCACAATGGGTTGAATTTTCCACAAAGACATTAACAAAGTAAAAAACAATGAAATTCTCTTGCAAATTTTGCAACACAGGTGCCAGGATGATCAATAATGACATCCAACCCAATGCACTATTGAAGAGAAAATCTTCCTTATTATTGTCCTGCTCGTGAATAAAAATCAACTTTATGAACTAGAGTTACATACAATTTAATAACGTGATGAAAAGATCTGGTCTGGGAACTTTGTGAATAGATGACAATACTAGCAAAGTATTTTTAAGAAGATTAATTCATTTCTCCTGGAGAAGGTAAGTCACGTCTTTAATTAAGTGGATATATAAAGAAGCAGTTTATAGCGAATTTCTCAGCATCCCATCACATTCAGCTATCATTCAGGTTAGCGTATTGTATTATTGTATCGTATTCACAAGGATGGTGAAACTTCACATTCCTGTACCTGCTATCTTAATTCAAAATCAATTAACAGAATTGTGAATATTGACAAAGCAATATGTGGTAGTGAAACTTCTGAAAGCATCACATGGTAAAATATGAGGACAATCATAAATTAGTCTTCATATACTGGGGAAGGTGGACGAGTGAATAGGCAAAATTAGAAATAGGTGGCAAAAAAATTGTAAAATACCAGCAGTGTCACACAGTTCCACTTCAGTGTTAAGATATGTTACCAACCCTTCAGCAAATGTGGGAAAGGGAAAGTCATGGGAAACGAGCTACAAGTATTTTACAAATTTGAAAGTAATCACTAATGAACTCCAATCAATGCACTTTCCTAAAATTACAGAGGCAGATTATTTCTCTGCAAGTTTGCAGAAAACATCGTAAACTTCTGGATTCTCCTGAGCAAACTGCTCAGGTGTATTTCTCTGTAACCAGTCAGTTGTTCGGATCTGTTGGCGCAGCAATCCAATTAGACCATCAAGAGCAGGATCAGGTGGAGACTGCTGGACACCAATTTCTATTACATCCTCAGCAATTTTGGTTCTATTCCCAGAATCAGAATTGGGTCCCTTTTCAATCGACTGGATTTCTGAATCTTGCTCTTCCAGAACCTTTCTAAGCCTCTGCATTCCTAAGCAAAAGAAGAGTGAAATATCAAATTGGTTTTGGAAAGTTTAGCAAAATAAAAGAAGAAATAACTTTCAAACATACTTCACTATGCTACTTATCACATTAAAGTACAGGCAGCAAAATTATTTTGAATTTCTTTGTCACTTCATTCAAAGTTTTGGCTTGACTTAGAACAGCCATAATGGAACTTTGTCAGAAACCATGGGGGATAAACTGGGTAGCCTCTAAAAATGGGTACAAGGATCGCAAATGCACATTTATCATGGAATTTAATGTAATTGGCATGGTTTTAGCACATCAGTTTTTTTTTTATTCATTCATAGGATGACGTCAGCATTTATTGCCCTAATGATTCAACCACATTGCTGTGGGTCTGGAGTCACACATAAGCCAGACCAGGTGAGGATGGCAATTTCCTTCCCTAAAGGATATCAGGTGGGTTTTTCCGACAATCAACAATGGATTAATGGTCATTCTTAGACTCCTAATTCCAGATTTTCATTGAATTGAAATTCTACCATCTGCTGTGGCACGATTTGAAACCAAGTCTCCAGAACATTCCTTGGATCTCTGGATTAACAGAGCAGCGATAATACCACAAGGCCATTACCTCCCCTACCTCTGAGGGGGAGGCCTGACTAGACTAACTGGCCAGTGTCAGGTCTTTCCTGGGATTCATGAGCCCAGGAGTAGAAAGCTCACCTGGCAAGAACTGCTGGCCACACAGTGCCTTGCTGCCAGTAATGCACCTGGAGGAGGCCTAAGATCACTCAGGATCCAGGCCAAATGTGGGTAAGGTCAGGATAGGGTTAAAACAGAGGCTGGACAGTTGGAGCCATTTTTTCAGTGACAACCACCCTGCATGACACTGAATTCCTCAATCAAGCGTTAAGTACCTTTGAAAGAATGATACCACCTTCAAAAAGTCACAGTTAAATTTGACAGGTAAAGCTGTGCCTGTCATATTTAGTTCCTGAACCACCAACTACACTCCACTTGGATCCGGTACGAGAGGAATCAGTCGGCTCACTAACGAGCAGGCATGTTTCCCCAACTGGACTCTTGCATCCTCAGACCTAATTCTAAAAGCTTTTCCCACCAGTGGTGAGACAGCTACACAGCCTCACCGCGATTAATTAGCTCCAGTTAGAATATTTCCTGTCACAATGGGCTGAATTAAATCCAGCCCAACTAAATGCTTGTGAAGAATTGGTGCAGTGTGTCAAATGTGCAGGGGAGAAAGTTTTTTTTTAAATTCATTCAGGGGATGACTGCATTGGTCAGCATTTACTGCCCATCCCTAATTGCCCAGAGGGCAGTTCAGAGTCAACCACATTGCTGTGGGTCTGGAGTCACATATAGGCCAGACCAGGTAAGGATGGCAGTTTCCCTCCATAAATGACATTGGTGAACCAGATGAGTTTTTCCGACAATTGGCAATGGATTCATGGTCATCACTAGACTCTTAATTCCAGATATTTATTGAATTCAAATTCCACCATCTGTCATGGTGGAATTCGAACCTAGGTCCCCAGAACATTACTTGGGTCTAATGGATTAACAGTCCAGCAATAATACCACTAGGCCATTGCCTCTGCAGTGAATACACAATATGGTGCAATAAGTGTTATTTGGCATGACATTACATTGGTGGGGTTGGGGTTGGGAAGGACATACTAAAGAATCCCAGTATTACTATTAAAATTAGAACACAACCAGTTGCATTCAGGGATCTTTGGTCTGTAAATGGGGACTTCAATCCAATAATGCCAATGATAATTAATGTTTCAATATTCCAAAAACATGCACTTTTACCAACATCTGCATTTTGATCATACAGTCCTCAAGTAAAGGAATAGGAGCTGTGGAAATATATGTTTGGAAGTAATGGAGACATAAAGAGAGAGCAGAAACCAACAACATAAAGATATTTTCATCAGTCTACTCACCTAACTGTAGCCGGTAGGTTTCATCAGCAAATACGATACGGAACCAGCCAGGCTCACAGCAGCCAAATGACTTCCCGTTGATGAGAAGAATTTTATTCTTGACAAACTGCTTCAATAGTTTTTCCTCTTCTTCAAATGTCAGATCCTTTAAGTACTGGATCAGAAGAAATGGGTGTATTATATTTCTGTCGTTTTCACTCCTGCAGTTCATCTGCTGAATCACCCAACACACTCTTAAATCTACTCTGAGGGTGGGAAAGGGCTCAAAGCAGCTCAATGTACAGACACTATAAATTAAATATCATTACTAAACAAAAACTGGCAGAATCCAGTTCTTTCTTGCTGAAGCTCCATGATTCTTCACAGCCCAGTACACCAAGAGGATGGACATCAAATGAGATCCTCCTAAAGAAAAATCCATGCTAGCCCCCTCTATCCTTGTAAACCATCATTCATGATCTTTAAATGTGTTGTTAGCTTTCTCGTTAGCTCGCACTGTTCCCACAACTTTGTTTGAAATTCTCCAATTGACTTCCTCTTCTTCCAATCAATGAAATGGACCTAACCAGACTAATAGACAGCCTTTATGAGTATGCACAGCCCTTCATCTTATATTCCATTGCCCCTCTGCAGGGTCCACCCCTTTCAGAGTTCACTTCAGATCATTCAAATCATCACATGCCATGTCATTTCTGGGATGAACTAATACAAATATAATTATCTTTAATTAGATCTTGGGCGGTCCCAATCCTTTGCATTTTTCCAACAGAATAGCTTATATTAGCATGTAGAGGTACAACAGCCAAATTTGTCACATATGTCATTGAATTTTGCAGTGACATGGCACAGACCAGTAACATCATAGAGAAGATGATGGATATAAACGACTTCCCTTCATGGTTGCTTTGTTACGGTGCCCAAAGGAACTCATAAAGAGGCAAATTTACTGAATAAACAAGTAGACATTTGTTGTGATCCCCATAGAGACTCCCAAAGGCTTAAAGAGAAATTCAGCCAGTGATTCACTGAAAAACAGAACTATAATTCTGCGTTTAAAATAAATTAATTTTACTATACAAGAATGAAGTAAAGCAAACAATACTAAATAAACACTCATATATATCTTTATACTTAATATCAAAAGCACAACAAACACAATCACAGATAGTTTAGACTAAAAACCTCCAACAAACATCCCTTTGGGATTTTTTACTTTGACTTTCCCTAGAAAGCCTTTGGCAACTTATCAAGTTCTTGAAGGTTATCCACTTCCTTGGGACTAACTCCAAACTTTCCAAAGAGATTTTGTAAAATCTAAGGTTCTCAGCTCAAGTTTGACCTTCCTGCAATTCCTGCACAGTGGCTTTGACAGAAAATTAATATACTTCGGGTTTTCAATACCTCTGTCCTCCTAGTCCATAGCTTCTGCCTTCTAAAATGAGGAATTAGACCCCCCAACTTGGCAGTTTGCAGCCTCAAGCCCAATGACTTTCTAAACAAAATTCACTCAGTCAACATCACAGAATCCCAAACAAGGCTCCACCGTTAATCAATCATCTCTACGGTAACAGAGGTTAGTTAAAATGGTGACTAAATTTTTCAATTAATTAAAGTTCAAAACTAAACCTTTTGATTCTGGAACTCATATAGGTAACTTTTATTTCCAGCACTTCTCACCAGGAAACCTCCTTTTTTATTTGCAAGGGTGCTTCTAGTTCCTCTGGTCTAGGAACTATATAATTGAACCCTCTGTAAAGTCAATTGTAGACATTTCATGTCTATCAAGAAACTCAGGTAAAAAGCTCATTGTTCAGTCTTTTCAATCCACCCCCATTTTAGGGATGTTTACCAATTTTTCAAAACCAGACATTTCCCCATATTTTACATTTAAGACTTTAGTTTCTAAAATTAGAAGCTTTTTTTCTAAACTGCACGAAGTATGGTATCAGATATTTACAACCAATTCTTGAACAAGTTTTCATTTTTTTGTAGTTTTACTTCAATCTGAATCAGAATCAACATAAAATAGAAACAAGTTAACAGGCAAATCACATTTGATATAAACTATAGATACACACAGAAAGCAAATATCACAAAATCTATCTCAGGAATCTATTAGGAAAAATGAACACCTCCTCTCTCCAGCTTTGCTTTCCTTTTTATTGTATGTCATACAGTCTCTGTATTTTAACTACTACTCTTTCAGTACTGCTTCAAGGTCACCAGATCATCGGCCAGTACTTTTTATTATCCAAAATTTATAATTGATTCTTTTCCAATACATACAAGCTCTTGAAATTCCATTTTAAAATGCTTTTGCAACACCTACATTTAAAGTAATTACAATATTTTCTTATTGTCATTGTTTTGGGCTCAAAAACTGATAGAGCCTCAAAAGACAAAACAAATTGAGACTGTCAAATTCATTGTACTCAAGATATCCGACAATGAAGGGAAGTGTCACTCCAAGTCTGAAATCTAATGCAAGATTCAAAATAGAAAACATGAATGCTAAGAACAACACAGCTCCTATACATTTTTTGGCTATCATGTCACTGTGTCAATTGACGGAATGGAATAAATTATACTTAATCCCAATTCATTCCTTTAATTACACCAGTACAATAAAAGAGAAATGACAGAAACATAAAAATAATTGCACAGATTACCTTTCTGAAATCAGCCCAGATATACAAGCCTGCGTGCCGGTTCAGGAAAGGAATGCCCATTGCTGTGAGTTCATTTGCTACACACTTGTGGGCAGATTTCAATCTGGCTCGATTTGTTGGCAAAAACACCTGACTGATCCAATCTACAGAGCAGAGAGGGGAGAAAAATCAGCTCAGAGGATTATTGTGATATGAGGCACCAAGAAATTTTAAACCTCTTAGAAAAATGACATATTCACGTTACGGCCTTCACAATTTCAGTATGCTCCAAAACACTGACAGCCAATGGAATACTTCTGAAGTGTCAATGTTGCAATATAGTAAACATGACAGTCAATTTGCACAGGACAGGCTCTCACAAATAGCCATTTTATAATGAACAATTAATCTGTGGTTTCAGTGGTGTGGATTGAGCCCATAACTGTTGACTTGGACACTGGGGATAACTCCTTTAGCCTTCTCTGAAATAATGCCATGGGGCTGTTGACATCCATCGGAGGAGATTCACACAATCTCCGACTAACACCTTGGTCAAAAACATACACGTTTGACAGCACAGCACTCCATCAGCACTAGATTTATGTGCTCAAGCCTCAGGAGTGCGACTTGGACCCGGGTCATTCTGACCTCAGGGTCAAGTGAGTTTAACCAAGAAGAAAATCTGATCTTTCAAGATGCCACAATTAACTTTTCATGCTGGCAAATTGCAATTACTTAGTCATCTTGCTTTAACAGCTAATGTTACATGAATGCCCTTACAAATTTTTTGAATAAATTTCCACATTAATATCAACAATCACACTGATATTTTCCACACAAATACATAATAGTTTGTTCAGTACAGCATCATGCTAAATACTCCTCAGAAGGAAAGTAAAAACCCCACAGATCAAGTACTTTGTTTACAACTCATGCTGCCAATAACGTGAGCTCTCTAACCTCATCAGAATATTACATACTTTTAGTCTTAAGGCTCAGGGAAATAGAACATGGTCCAAATGTAACAAATAGAAAATACCTTATTTCACATTTGATATCCTGAGGTGGCCTATGATGGCATCAAGCAGAATCTACAGCCAGAACAAATGACTACAAAATAGACACTTTCTTTATTTGGATTCTTCAAAAGCTCAATGAGGAGTCTGATCATCACAAGATCTTACAAATACAGACTCAGCCCAGAATCTTTCAAAGCATGATTGTGTCATTAGCTTGCTCTTTTACAGGAGTAACAGATCAGTAGATAAAGATAGATTTAGATTTATAAACTACAAAATACAAACTTAGCAAGTGTCAGATTCAGGGGGTTGTAATTTACTGCCTTAACAATTAGTTTCTGAAATAATATTTATTGACTCATGGGTTAATAAAGAAAGCTGTGTATGTCTTAGTAGGTGGGTGTACCCAATCCACCACCCTCTGCATGATTTAATGCTCTGCCAAACAGAGCAAGATGCCAATTTTGTCTCCAGGTATGAGCTGAGTTAGTTGATGCAATGATTGATTGAGTTGTTACTATTTTCTGCAGCTACTGCAGCAAAGAAAAGATAAATAATCAGCCAAGATTTCCTGGCCTCAATACAGTCAGTTATATCAGTTGTAAAAAGTGCATATACGTCTGTTGAACACATCTGGTGTGAAAAGGAACTGCCATCGGTTTAACTGCAATACTTTTCACATCTAACAACTTGTTGATGTACACTGTAGAGGCTCTTACATGAGAAAGGTTATGTTTGGTGAGGTGCATGTACACCTATACACCAACAGGAGCAGTATCTTCAGGACAGCAATAAGGTAAAGATGAGGAAGGTTTCAGAATCAAATACAAAGAATACATACTGCAAATGGTGGCAATCTTTGACACCTGCTTGCCAGCATTTGTCATAAAAGACATAACAGTTTTGCAGGAGGTCTTCAATCTGTGCAAGATAAAACTCTCCACATGGTATACTGAGCTCGCTACTTATGTGACACACAAGTCCCACACAGACATGGAATAAGGTAACTCTCCACTGTGGTAGATGTACCTTGATCTCGTAGTAACTGTGCTACCATATGTTGCGTGGGACCTGGAACACCATGGAAGGATGCCAACTGGCTGAGGGCACTGATTACGTCTGTATTTTCAGTGTACAGTGTACCAACACGAATTCCACTGGCTGCAAAATCCTAAGAAACAATAAAACAAATTTAAATTTCACAGTTTGTGGCTCTTCTGTTTTCCGTTGCACCATTTTGCCATGCATTTCTTCAAAGTCAACTTTAGTAAGTATGCCACGCAGCAGGTTGGCAGGTTCTCCCCAGTTTAAAAGGAACTGCAAACAACTAGTTCGTCAACAGGATTTCCACTTTAGTAAAAGTCAATGTTAGTTCCTTTATGCCAAATAGTAGGTTTTGTACCAGGAAAACTAGTTACATTAAAGATATTCTCATAAAGGCATTGTTGCTTAAGTAAAAATAAACTGGGACATGTTTCAACCAGGTAAGCATAGAATACAAAGTCATCTGTCACACAACAGCAAAACCCAACAACTATTTATACTAATATAGCACCTTTAATGTAATGAAAGATCCTAAAGTACCAAAAGCAACAAGAACAGATATTATGTCATTCAGCTAAAGCTTGGTTAAAGAGGTAAAAGCTCTTAGTTAAAGCTTTAAGAAGTGTCTTAAATAAAGTTAATGAGATGGAAAGATTTAAACAGGGAATTCTAGCACATGAGGCTTAAGCAACTGAAGGTGTAACCTCCAATGGTGGAGCAATTAAAATTTGGAATGCAAAAGAAGCCAGAATTAGTGTATTCCTTCTCCAACTTTGTTTTCCATTCTTTTGGACAGTTGGCTTTCTCACTATAATTAAGCTCAAATATCTACAACTTCATGTTTCATTAATGTGCCCGAATTAGAGACCACAGAACAAGAGTTTTATACTAACTTCTGTCTGAGATCATTTACTGCCAAATCTGAAGGTTCACACAAACGTTTTCTACCAGCACATAACTGAGTGTTCTTTTCACTTGTACAACAAAACCTCTCGGGCATGAAGATTTTACACAGAAATAAAGGGCTGGTTTTCCCAGGCCCTGAACAATATGGGCAATGCAGAGAGAGAGTTTGGAAAATTTTGTGAGAATGGAAAAATTTGATTCTCAACATTGAGAAAAAAAGACTCCAATTTCCAAACAAGCTTTCAGTGGCTAGATGAGAACCTTGTCAGTGAGTGACAAGGTGCCTATTTGCATGTATGGGCACCTCATTAAGACCTAATCTCAGAGATAGTAGGAACTGCAGATGCTGGAGAATCTGAGATATACAAGGTGTAGAGTTGGATGAACACAGCAGGCCAAGCAGCATCAGAGGAGCAGGAAAGCTGACGTTTCGGACCTAAACCCTTCCATTTTCTGAAGAAGGGTCGCAGCCCGAAACATCAGCCTTCCTGCTCCTCTGATGCTGCTTGACCTGCTGTGTTCATCCAGCTCTACACCTTGTATACCTAAGACCTAATCTCATCTCATTTATATGCAGATCACTATTTTGACAGGTCCTGGAGAGAAACTAGACAGCAGTTACTGGGCAGCTGCAACTCGGGTTCCTCTCCAAGTAGCAATCTTGACCTGCATTCCCATCAACTTGGGGCATACTGAATGGGCAGCAGCTGCCTGCACTCCTTCTACAAAGGCTGGTATAAGTCAACCACAGCCTCACCACAGCATCATGGCACAGATCCAACTCACTCATGGAGGAACACTGCACCTTGGAGTTCACTCACACATTTCAATGCAATGCTGCTACTAGGTTGCTTTGTGCATGGGGACAGGCACCCATCTTATGCTTAGGAAAAATAAAACAAAATTCAGGATGCGAACCTCAAGCATTGCCCAACTACGTCCACTACAAATCCTGGCCATGAACAATCTTCACCATATCATTGATCAGTACAAGTGAATCCGAGAAACTGCTGTGAAGCAGAAGTAACGTCAGGCACACTATAAAGTTACACCTGTGCTCCATAATTTTGAAACATATTCAAAGGTCTCAGAGCCTGCACAAGGTCCAGGAGATATTTACCTCACAGCTTGAACTGTACAATGTCCATACCATTATTCTATATGTAATGCTGCCTGCCTCATATAATGTGGAGGTGAGGGGTGGGGACAAGAAAGTTTTTTTGTAATCTCCTATTGCGTCTCTGCCACATCCTGGCCCAACAAATATCTACATCAGGTCTACTACATAAAAGGTCCAAGCAAAGACATCATGTTGTCCTCCTTATCAAAGGCCTCCATGCCGCAGAGTTTGGAAGACAATGTTTAAATATCATCTGTATGTGCTGCGACTGCCAACTGATCCCATTACTGTGGAGCTGCTTTGTTTCTGATATTCCCTACATAGGCTCAACGAAACAGTCATCAATGGATTCAGACACAGAATCTGTTGACATCTCAATGGCTGCTGCATTACAAACATTCACTAGGATTGATACAGAAGTCCAGCAGCAAGCACAACTACCAGAGGATGTGGAGCAGCTTCCTGATGCAGAGTTTCCAACAAAAGGTCTCTTCATGATGCAGAGAAATTGCAGGAGGGCCACACTTTCATTTTCAATGAAATGTCCTCCAAATGAGCAATGTGCAGTTGGTACTGCCAAATGAGGATGTTCCAGGTCACTATGACGAACTGTAATCAGCTGCAGCAAACCAGATGCAGGGCACTATAGACTATACATAGTAGCGGTCTGGGCACTACATTACAAGGCTCAGCATATATTCAATTCCCTCTTCCACTGGGACCTTTCAGGGCAATACAATGTGTTCTCAAGTTGAGGTTCCCATACTTGTACAGGAGTGGGAACTCATTGTCGAACAATACAAAGTAACCAAGAAAACTGATGAAGGCAGAGCAATAGACATTGTTTACTTGAACTTTGGTAAAGCCTTTGACAAGGTTCTGCATGGTAGACTAATTAGTAAAGTTAGATCACATGGGATTCAGGTGAGCTTGCCAACTGCATACATAATTGGCTTAACAGCGGAGACAGAGTGATGGTAAAAGGCTGTTTTTCAGACAGGAGGCCTATGACAAGAGATGTTCCACAGAGATCGGTGCTGGGTCCACTTTTGTTAGTCATTTATATGATTTAGATGAGAATTATAGAAAACATGATTAGTAAGTCTGTGGATGACACCAAGATTGGTGGTATAGTGAGCAGTGAAGAACGTTATCTAAGATTACAAAGAGATCTTGATCAATTGGGTCAAAGGGCAGATGCAGTTTAATTTGGATAAATGTGAGGTATTGCATTTTGGTAAAATAAACAAAGACACGACTTATGCAATTAAAAGTAAGGCCTTGGGTAGTGCTGTAGAACAGAGACCTAAGGGTTCAGATACAGAATTCTTTGAAGTTTGCATCACATAGATAGTGTGGTTTAGAAGGCATTTAGCATACTGCCTTCATTGCTCAGACCTTTGAATATAGGACATTATGTTGAAGTTGTACAGGATGTTGATGAGGCCTCTTGGGTTCAGAAGAGATTTACCAGGATGTTGCCAGGAATGGTGGGTTTTAGTTATAAGGAAAGCTGGATAGGCTGGGACTTTTTCCACTGGAGTGTAGGAGGTTGACAGGTGACGTTATAGAGGTTTACAACGTCATGAGGGGTATAGATAAGGGGAATAGCAGGTGTCTTTTCCCTAGGGTGGGGGATTTCAAGACTAGGGTGCATATTTCTAAGGTCAGAAGAGAAGGATCTAAATAAAACATGAGGGGCTTTTTTTGTCTTTACACAGAGAGTGGTTTCTGTGTGAAATGAGCTTCTAGAGGAAGTGGTGGGTGCAGGTATAGTTACAACATTTAAAAGACATTTAGACAAGCACACGAATAAGAAATGTTTGGAGGTTTATGGGCCAAGCGCAGGTTGGTGGGAATAGTTTAGTTTGGATTTATGGTTGGCATAGACTAGTTGGACCAAAGGGTCTGTTTCTGTGCTATATGACTCCATGACTCTACAAAAGGCGCCACTTAATCCTTGCATGCTGTGCTTTGGACAATTGGAGCAAGCAATGAAGGCAAGTGATAGACAGTAAGGATCAATGAGAGCCACAGCATTGTTCAGAGTAGAAAAATAAGGATGTTGAACACAAGAAACTTCACCTTCACCATCCAACAGCACTGCATCACAGATCACAACTAACAAGACAGCATCCCTTTGGCAGCTGCGTGAAATGGAAATGGAAGACAGCAACTTTACAGAGAAAGGTGTGTGTGAGAGAGAGGGGAGAGAGAGAGAGACAGACAGACAGAGGGTGGGGGGGAGGGGGGGGCGAGAGAGAGAGAGAGAGAGAGGAGGGGGGGAGAG